TTTTTATTTCACCAAGAGACGGGACCAAAAAATCGTGGGCCTACTGTAAGCGACACGCTTTTCCATACAGAGCTTTAAACCGCAAACACCCGAAGGGCACTGCCAATGCGCCCGTCACCTTGAGACGTAGAATTGACAAGGTCCATGTGCCTGTAATTTCACCAGCACCCCTTCAAATCGAAATGCAATAATGTTCACATTTTATGTTTATACATAATTTGTTTTTCTTTCTTCTTTATTATTTCTTATTTTTATAACATTTTATGTGAATAAAGCATTTTTAACGTATTATCGCATGAGGCTTTATTGTACCGAAGGTTAATTTCTTACCACTGCATTTTAACTTACACTTATTGAAATGAAAAAATGGAATATTTAGAAAAGACAAAAATTGTAAATGAAATATTTAAATATATTTTTCTACAAAAATTTTCTTCTACAAACACAAGAAGAAAGATAAAGATAAAGAAATTAGCTAGTTAGACGCTAAAAATGTAGAACAATACAATCATTCTGTGAGTTCAGAGGCATTTTTAACCGACTTCAAAAAAGGAGGAGGATCTCAATTCCGCTGTGTTTTTTTATATTCTGGCATTTGTGAACCAATTTTGATGGTTCTTTTTTTGTTGGAAAGAGGGTACCTCAGTATTGGTTCCATTTAAACTTGAAGAAAATATTGGATGGCAAATTAGGGGTTGAATCCGGTTTCGCGAACTTTCCATTGACCGATTTCAATAAAACTTGGCAAATAGATATAATTCCACGAACTTTTGAGGTCTTTTTTTTGTAAAAAGTTACAATTTGTTAATTCCAATTGAGGTTATAACAGACGTACCTTCACGCAAGTTGAACAGGGAGTAAGGGTTGGGCCAGACGAGCGTAATTTCGTGAGTTGTGAGTCGCGTTTTTTGAGTCACGTAGTTTGTGTTCGACTGAAATTCGCTTGAGGCGCCAGAGGAACGTATTTTATTTATAGGAATGAAACTATTTTTCCGGATTTAAATCGCGTATATTTGTTTTTTCAAACAAACCGACGTTTCGGGCATTTTATTTAGTTGCTTTAAGAGTCGATGCAACCTCAAATGGCTTTGGTTCATTCCGCATAACAATGAAAAGTGTTCTAAATCTATCACTTTGGGAAAATATATATATATATAAATATATTGTAAAATTGAGGATATGCATTGATTAGTAAAGACGATTCCTACGAATTTTCACAACACAAATTTACCTTGAAATTTTACAAATAATCAATAAATACTTTACATACTTTGACTTACAATTATATGGACGTCGGGTCCGCGCTAAAAAGTGTCCGAACTTATAGGGCATTAAAATCGTATACAGAGCGTCATTCACGCTTTAGTCTTCGTTTGTTCGACTGACAGCGAAGCAAGCAAAATTAGACTGTACTACGATGACATTACAATTTAAAAGCTTTTTCATATTCCTTTACATGTCACTACGTTTAAATAGGTTGACGGTTGACTTGGGACATTTTTTTCGTGGTTTTTGTATTAGACCCGTCGTCCATTTATTTGTAAGTCAATGTTTACATACCAATTTTTTTTTATATCAACTGAACTAAACAGAACACGTATATGCGATATACATTTTTCAAATGGATTTAACTTCGTTTGTAAGAAAATAAATTCTGAAATAGAGCCAGTGTTCCTGCCGCCCGACCGAAATATAGGGGAGGTAGTATAGGGTACATCACTCTATATGAAAAGATTAAAGTGTGGACAGTTTCATAATAGAAAAATGTATGTGAACATCCAGATTAATTTGTAAAATACTATCACATGCGAATAAACGTTTTCCTCACCCCTCCCTCTACCCTCTAAAGCACCGAACGTCAGTCGCAATTACGCGCGTATGTTGACAGACAACTAATTTTGCGTTGTCGTGTTTCAAAAGCTGCACTTTTATATGAAGCCGAATGCAGACTTTATGGCGAAGTATTTGAACGCGAGCTTAGATTTTAAGAGGCGAGGTGTGGGGAGCCGCTCCTCGCGTTCCGCAATCTGCGGCTTAAAATTAATGTAAATAAATTACGGAATAGGTGGAGCAAATGACGTTGACAAGCGACTGACGGGGCAGCGGGCGACGCGGATTGTCGTTAAACAGCTGGGCAATTATCAAGTTTTGGTATATATGTGCATTTAATAACTAATAGGGCTTCAGTTGAAAGCTAAAATTTGGCAGGTTCTCTGTAGTACTAAAGAGAAATATCTCCATATAAAAATTATGTGCATAGTTGATATTTTATTCTCAAATAATTCGTTTTAGTTTTTTATTTTTGCCTATTTTGATGATTAAAGTACATCATATCGTGTAATAAATTAGCACAGTCTTTAGACAATATCCTTAAGTATATATCTTTTATAAGATCGTTATTTAATAGTAAATACGTAAACCATTCGATATAGCAAATCAGTTTTCCCCCAGCAAGCTACTCAAAACGCAACTCAAACGACTACGCTCGTCTAGCCTCACCCTTATAGCGCATAGATAGTTCATATCTTTTAGTTACAAAATGGGTATCCTTTTTTAGAGCAGTGTTTCTATACGAATCTACCCCACATTTTGTTATACAAATTTCGTTTCTCCGTGGAGACAGTACGTGATCGTATTTCTAATAAGTAACTTGAGGCGCTCGGTTTCTGACGTGTGCCTTTGCGTACTATAAAGTACATATGAGTAATTTTTTAGTGCTTAATTGAATTTGGGAAGTCGAATGCAGGTACTTAAAAGAATTGTATATATTTTTTATAAAAATAAACCACCACTAAAGTTTGTTAATCCGCTTTCGGGATCGTTATTGTGGTTTCCTCAACGGTAACTGAAACGCATATGGAGGTCCTCGTCAAAGTTGATCATATGAGCCACTGCCTTGGGCTGTACTCTGGTGAGGAGTTCCACCTGTTTGCCATTTCCATCATCACGTCACCATAACATTTAGTCTAATTGGAATTACATATTACTACATAATTGAAACTGAAGGTGGATGAAATTCAATAAAGATTTTTTTCAAATTTGAACGGGACCATTACAAAAGTATTCCTTTCCAATAAAAAAGAATCGTTTTAAAAATGTCGGAGTTGTTGAATTGAGAACCTGTTCCTGTTTTGAAGTCGGTTAATAAATTTACTAAAACCAAAAGCCGTTTATTTGTGAACAAACGGGTTTTCATTTCGATGCTTTAGCCTTTGCTTCTCGTAGACAGAAGAAGCTGTGGCAGGATGCGTTTTTTATTGATGTAGCCGTCTATTACGAATAAGATTTTCCTAAAGCCGCTGCTGCGCACAGGCCACCTCGTAAGATAATTTTTTACATCTGATTTTGACGGTATAATAACGTATTTCGTGGAAATGAAAATCAGTTAATTTTTGCGATTGATCCGTGTAGGTACTGAATATGATATTTGAAATTATAGATATTGTAAATGAAAAATATCTATTACAAGGTCCAGTCCTTTGCGTTTCTTACTGATTGTTCTCAACGGAAATTGCCTTTATGGGTGAGTAATTTGCTTACCTAAGAAATGAAAATATTTTAGAATTTTGATTTTGAGCTACTCTGTTAGTTAACTCAAATTGTGTGCAAATATTTTTAACAAACTACCTACATGATTTGATTAATAAATATAATATATAAATATTAGACAATATCACATCTCCGATCCTAAAGTAACTAAAGCACTTGTTATATGTAAATCGGAAACAACGACGATGCCACAAACACCCCACGAACTTTCAAGAACTAATGCGCATTCCACAAACGATGTGGGCGTTAGTGTGGGTGGGCTTTTAATATGGACGTTTGACCTTTACTTTTTGACAAAGCGACTTTTGTTCTACCCTACGACCTCTGATATTTCATACACCGTCCTTCACTTCACGACTGACATATGTGACATGTTTGTTGTCACTTATTATTCTGTTTTGAACACAACTTCCATATATAGACAAGAACATTCATAGCAACTACATATTCCGAACAAAACACTATCAATAGTGATTGTGTTTTGTTGTATCAGTACCGTAGTACCGTGGACAGACGTGACAGTCTATAATGATCTAGGCAGGCAGATAATATTCAGCGTTTACTAATGATATTTACCCATAGTTGGGAAATTAAGGCCTCAGTGCATTACATTTCATATTGCTTTGACCCAGGGGTCTTCCGCTTACTGGTTATAATTATTATATTACTAAAAAGAAAAACAAGTTAAGTCAAAGAAAAAAATCCTATGTAATGAAAAGCTAAGATCTTTGGACAATGCAGCCTAGTCTTTTACATGTTTTTAATATGTATATAGGTACAGTACCCATTGTAACTGTATTATTGATATTATACATACTCTGTTATTGTGTAGTTAGAACACTCTGTTGCTTATTAATGTATTCAAGTGTATTTACCGTCCATCAGTGAAACATAGCGTGTCTGTGGAACAAACATTCCTAAAAGTAGTTCTAACCAGAAAGTACGTATATAAAAACCACAAGTGACAATACGTCAAAGGTGTCCTTACACAATGGAAGTCATAAAGACAATACGAACTACATGAAACAAATGAAGGTCGTATCACCAGTGACCGACAAGCACCACTTTTTTAAATTGATTTCGAATAACATTTATGACAAAATGTTCTATCATAGTAACACATTTGTTATTGGGGCCAATTTTACATAAATGTTGGTAATTTTTTGATTCCAGTGCTAAATAATATCTAGACTGACCTATCTGTGACCTGTTTCCCACGTATTGACCTCCCCCCTACGCCCTAGATCCCCCCTCAACCTCCGACCTTTACACGGCGCATGCGTCAACCTCTCAAAAGCCTGAAACCACCCAGAAACCACCCTGGAAGTCCTCAGTCCTACTCTGAAGCTTTCTTGGTGAACAGCGCACAGCTGGTCATTTAAAAAATATATATATTATTTTCTCTATCATATATGAAAAACATATATAAAATATCTAAACTCCGCGACCACACCCTATTTATATATAATTATATCCACGACCCTTTCTGTCATATATTAATTCGGTTCTCAACAAAAAATATATCATATAAGTAGTGTTTAAATCAAACTCTAGTTCTTTGATTAATATTTGAAAAGTTAATTAATATCTAGTTAAATTAAAATTAAATAAAGTTTCGTATCCCGTAGTTTTTGCAAGGTTTGTATGGTTTATTTATAAATATATATTAATTCATTTAGAAAAAATGTAGTTTCAATAGATGTTTTTTGTTTCACGCACATTTTTCACACATTCCAACTTCGAATTTAATTGAAAACTCTTTTTATTATCTTACGTAACCTTTTTGACCTTTTCTTTGCGCATGCGCAGAATATCTGCGCAATATCCTAGATTTACTACTTAAAGTCTATGAAAACAAACTTACATGATAAAGATAAAAAGATTAAATTCAATTGTAGCCGTTGGACGCAAACGTCTGTAAATTTAAATTGTAACGGTTCGTATGTGGAAAAATTAATAGAAAAAAGTCATTAACATATTTTTTTCTTTCTTTCCAGAATAGAATAGAAAAACTATGTCAAAGCTGAGTTTGGACGGCTTTTTTTCCTACTGCAAACACATAGCTGAACAAATACAGTTGGTTAGTTCATTCCGCCATATTGGCAGCCGTATTGATTTTCCCTCAAACGCACGCCATTTTGGATCTGATTTCTTTGTTCTTTTTTCCAATTATTATTAATCTTTAGAATTATTGAATTTATGTAAATTACAAGTGATTACAAGGCATTAAAGAAACGAAATAATATATCAAATACGATTATTATACTTCGAAAGAAAAAGAGATATTTTCAATCTTTATACGTTAAGGGTAGAACATATCATCGAGTACCATGATCTGGGGCATCATTCCTAGAAAATTGGTAACATATCCCCTTTAAATAGTTGCTAAACTTTTTCTTTGGCGGAAATGACCGTCAGTTTTATAAGCATCTGAGCGGCTTCAACGGGGTTTTATTTAAATTATTGGAATGTAGCTAATAGGATTTCCATGATTTTTCTTTGCATGTTTTTCATTTAATACATTTTAGTCATGGTTGTTCGCGACAAGGCGAATTACTATAATTTCGTATTCTTAGTATAAAAAGGCCACATATGATCATACGTCAAAAATAACTATCGTAAAAATAATATATGAAACAAATTATGTATATTGTATTAGTTTGCGTTCGTGGAATATTTAAAGCACTCTTCTGAAAACTTGTCATTTTGCTGATGTGACCTTATTACACCAAGAATTCGAATTATTTTAATAAAATTGCAACACTTTTAATGTAAATTTCAAATTTCGACAGTTATAAAATAAGAAAGAAAAATGCAATGACGCGAAATGATATAAGATTTAACATTGATGAATATTTTTTAGCTTTTATTGTGGAATATCTTTAAATTCACGATATTACACAAGTAAAATTTTTGATAAACAGACTAATGTAGGTACACTAACCTTACCTGGTATCTCGTAACACAGGGTTTACCTAGTTTGAGCACCAGTCTTCTACAATAAAATGATACCAGTATTTGATATCAGATGATACCAGTATAGAAGAGAATAAATACATTATTATTAATGAAATACATATTAGTAATTATATTATATAATAATATTTTTATTAATAGCTACGTGTTTGGAGCCTTATGTGTTATTCGTCTGGTGATGTCTATAAATAATATGAGATATGAAAAAACGATAGATTATATTTATTTAATTTATCAATTTCCCTAATACTTTACTTTTCGTGTTATTCACTTTATTGTTAGGGGTTCCATATGTTATAAACGAAGAGGTACATTGATAACAGAAGGGTTACTTGTTTGTTCAGGGCGAGAGAATGGCTGCGCTGTCGGGCCAGAGCACTCCGAAATTGACCTCCTCGGTCGGCAACCTTTACTATGACTGTAAGTACAATAATACCTTCAATGCTTTACTTTTACCTGTCTGCAAGGGACTTCAATAATGACCAATTAGATTTGAATTATTTATATGAATACATTTAGAAGCAGTAGAATTCCTTGTGAAAGAGTTTATCCAGGAAGATACCTATTTCTACCGCCAAGCAGTAATGTGAGTCATCATCATTATCATTCGGCCATACGACGCCCACTGCTGGGCATAGGCGTCCCCCAACGATCTGTACGACGATCGGTCCTGCGCTGCGCGCATACATCGGCTTCCCGCGACCTTTACCAGATCGTCGGTCCATCTGGGGGTCGCCATTGAAGAACCTTTCCGCCCCATCGGCTCTCCTAGCTACGTGCCCCGCCCACTGCCACTTCAGCTGAGCAATTCTTCGAGCCATGTCGGTTACCTTAGTTCTCCTACGGATTTCCTCATTTCTGATTCTATCACGTAGGGACATACCGAGCTTCGCTCTCTCCATTGTTGAGTAACTTTGAGCCTTCTTATGAGGCCCATATAATGTGAGTGTTACTGCGTTTCAGTTTTGAAGGGTAAGCGAAATGCTGGTGAAATTACTGGCCTGTGCCAGCTTGGCAGGGCTTGTCAAATTGTGTTTCAAGGTGACGGGCACAGTGGCAGTGGCCCGCAGATCTTCGGGATTTAAAACTCCGAGTGGCACGTAACTCTTACGGATAGCCGTGTCGCTTACCACCAGGCGCACGACTTGTTCATTCCGTCGCTTTGTCATATAACTTTTTATAGATAAGAAACTGACCTCACAAATTCGTGAAATTGCATTTGTTTGCAAAGTTTCATTGAAATCGGTTACCGGAAAGTGCGCCAAACCGGATTCATCCCCTAGTTTGCCACCCTTACAGGTAGAATATTTTCTTAAAATTTAAAAGGAACCAATACTGAGATGCTCTGTTTCCAATAAAAAAAGAATCATCAAAATCGATTTATAAATGCCGGAGTAATTGCGTAACTTACGCACACAAACAACAAAAACAGTCAAGCTGAGCACCTCCTCCTTTTTTAAAGTCGGTAAAAAAATAACTTGAGGTTTTTAAGGCGAGGGCGAGTAGGATGAATGAATATATGAAGAATGAAATATCCTTTATTTTGCACATAAAAAATTACAGTGACTAGTAATGTAAGTATCAATGAGGTAATGCATAACAGGCGGCCTTATTGCTAAGTAGAAATATCTTCCAGACAACCTTACATAATACGTAATTCCGTCATTGCATACAAAATTTTAGAATTCAGTCATCAGACAAACAAGAATAGTGACGTATCAAATTACACAGCCAATCTATCAAAATCAACCCGCACGCAATTTCCACCGGAACACGGCCCCGGAAGCAAGATACGAGACGCGTGCGCGGTTGATGACTTATATACGAAAGCCCCACTCCTATTCATAGGACATTGATAAGGTAGTGATTTAAAGTCCAAAGAAAGTTAAATTTGCCATATTTATTACATTTGCGGGTTGACCATTGTTGAGACAGAATGACACTGCTGTCCATGTCCAAGATTAATTGGTACTTTATTGCTTTTTCTTCTTATTTTGTTCGATAGATTTTTTTAGAGAGGCTTTGAAGGGTAAGGGAAATGCTGGTGATATTACAGGCACAAGGAATTTGTCTCAGGGTGACACGCGCAGGGGCAGTGCCCCTCAGATCTTCGCAATAAAGCTCTAAGTGGCATTGCAACTGTGTCGCTTACCATCAGATGCACGAGTCATTCGTCCCGTTACTTAATATTATACAAAAAAGATTAGATAGGTAAATTTATTTCATTCAGAAGTAAAGCATTTGTTTTACTTTTATGATGTAAGGAAGCTATGATAATATTGATATTTATTAAAAAAAAAGGACTTTCATTATTATACTTACAATCATCACAGAGTGATTTTAAACTAAGTGAATACTTTTTTAAATTAAAAAGCTTAAAAACAGATTCGCTATATTCATTTAACAATAAGCCGTGACAGTCTACCGTCTGTCAAGCAGAAGCTGTGGGTTCGAATTTTACCAAGAGCTTTTCGGTGAAGAAAAACATAGTGATGAACCCTCTCTTCACAAAACAGGCTTAAGAGTAGAGGACTGAAGGTTGAAACAAAACAAAGATTGGTCATGAAACAAATGATGATATTGTCTCCAGATTGAAAAAATACAAAGCAATTTCGCTCGATACTTATACAAGAGAATGTATGGTTACTATCCGCTGCTCTTTCCTTCCTTATTTGTCTACGGAAAGTCGGTCTTGATACCTTGGAATTAAGACGTGAAGTTCTCACCGTACTCCATTACGTATTTCTCCTGCGAGGTAAGGTGGATAATCCCGGAACACCGAGCATCGTCGGTCTGTTTGTGCCAAACAGGTACGTCTGCACGGGCCGACGACGCCGACATCAATTGTTTGCGCCCCCCGTGCGACGCACTTGCCGGGCTGACAACGCGCCCGCGAAACGTAGTTTCACGTTGCTTAATAGTCTAGCCGCTAAGGTCCAGGATGCTGATATTTTTTGCAACAGCATTAGCAAAGTAATTTATAAGGTAATGAGCGTTCTGCGTTGTTACTGTAAATTTACTTTAATTAATAAATAAATAAATGACGATGATGAACCTCATGAGCACTGACTTTAAAATCGTTTTAACCGCCTCCGTAGCCGAAGGGTTACCATGTTGGATTCCCACGCAGAGGTCGCGGGTTCGATTCCCGGGCCGGGAGAAATATTTGTATGGCCTACATTTATTTCTCTCGTGACTTTTGGTGTAATTTGTGGTTGTCTTTATGTGTGTCTATAGAGCGGGGCTATTAGTTTGTACGCGTAGTGTACGCGTTATGGTATTAGGGTACTTTCATTCGAAAGATTCGTAGTTGCATGTATGTCGCATGGTCCTGTATATAACGACTCTACTCCACGACCAATTAAGACCCGACTTGTCAGATTCAAACGCGGCTTTAAAGTTTTTGATTAATTACATTGTGTTTTAATGAAACCTTCGTTGACTAGAAGTTTATTGTCATTGTGGTTAAGTAGAAAATGTTGTACAAAATTGTGATCTTGCAACGTAGCCGCCTGCCTTTGGGCTATAAATCAAATTTGATTAAAATGTGCATTTTGTTGACATAAGTTGATTCAAAACCGGAACGAAGTAATACGGTATGCATGTCATCAATACGATAACAAAAACCAAACCCTAGAAACTTTCTCTAAAAACCAGTACATCATCATTATATCTAAAAACGAGCCCTATGCTACAACAATAATTCAAGTGGGATTGCGGCTGCAGTGACGCGTCAAACTTGAACAGACATAATGTGAAATTACTTCGTTCTTGCCCACTGTACGGGGGCTATAAAACCGCCAATGCCCTTTTAGGATTCGCATAGAGTAAGCAATACAAAACAGAAAAGAATATGGACTGCACTCTTGATTTTGAACCGTGAGCACCACAGAATTGAATTTAAATTAGTAATTGATATTAGCGTTCAAAGATTTCGCTATGACTAGCTTCAAAGATTTCGCTATGACTATGACCGTAATTGAATATACCAATAGGTACAGACATCTTTAAAAAATTATTTTGCGCGATGTGTTAAATAAATAATCGCAATTTTACACGTTATGTTACATAACCTCGGTGACTTGAGGCTCTTTGGGGCGCCTCAATACTGGAGGAAAGAATTTAGGAAACAAGTTTTTCTAAATTTTGGCAGTTTGTAATGCCTCTGAAGTTAATTCTTTTCTCTCGTAGTACAAAGGGAATTAAAGTGATTTTAGGTTTTTTAGGTTAATATTACCTTTATTCTGCCGCCAATCGGTAATGTCAGCATTAATGCGTTCCGGTTTTGAAGGGTACGGATGCTGGTGAAGTTACAGGCACATGGGACTTGTCAACTTATGTTTTAGGGTGACGGGCGCAGTGACAATACGACAATAATGACAGTGATTACAGCTCTAATTGATATTGAACTGTTATGGACAGGCGTTGTTCGTCCCGCCACTTAAAATGTCCGTGCTGAAGATCAAACTTTCTACCTTGTAGTTTGAACCACAAACAGCAAGCAGTAGGTATACTTCAAAAATGCTATGAACGACTCTTCTCCAATACATTTTCTTATTCTTTGTCGTGTAATATATTGCAGGATTAAACACAGGATTGTTTTGCCATATTCTCTTTACAATGTTGAGACTATAGTTATTTGTCTTTACTATTGCGAGGTCTACGTTTTTGTTATTGTTTATTTGAGATTGGGGGATTTGAAGTGTCATTTTAAGTGAAATTAAGTGATTTTACTTTTTTATTTTGTTTATTTATTTTATTTTACTTTCTTTTGATTAAAGGACAAGTATTTGAAGTTTGTCGTTGCGACATGTAATGGACGTAAATTGCTAAATTACATATTTAATATTTAATTTTGATTCCGTTTGTTTTGTAATTAGATGTTTTGCTGTTTTTCCCACACCACCGAATGGAACAGTACGGCATTGTTAGAGATATTATCTTTATTATAATAGATTCAGAATATTTTTTGGAATATACGGAGACGTACACACAGGTCAGTAGTTGTGCAAACGAGAGTTGATATTTATAAGAGCTGTATTGCTAATGTGTTACCAGGAATATATGGCCCTTATTTCGTCTCTATTTCTGGTCATATACTCGATGGAACCGTTAAACAATCGTTTTTAAGGTATGTTCACCCCTACTCCGAGCCAAAGACAGCCGCCACTTATCGATTTCAATATCGGAACGTGTCAATTTTTATGTTTTTTTATAATATCAAATGACGGGACGCATAAATCGTGTGTCTGTTGGGAAGCTACACGCCTGTCCATAACAGTTGCAGTGATACTTGAAGCTTTCAATCGCAAAGATCTCAGAGGCACTACCACTGCATCCGCCACCCTGAGATATAAGTTGACAAGTCTCATGTGCCTGATAAAATAGGTTCAGTTAAACTGCCTCCGTGGCCGAACGGT